GTCAGTTACCATCACACATGCCAGGGCCATCTCAAGTCACACCACAAGGGACAGCTGAAGTTCCCACTTTTAGCAATGCTCCTGGAAGAAAAACTCTCTAAAAGAGGGCTTGCTCTTATTTGGTGAGACAAGTTCTCAGACCACGGAGGCAGTCTTCACTCTGCCAACTGTCCTCGAGAATGTTCTGAAGAAAGAGGGTGGGAATATGAGAAGACTGGTCCAAGACACCTTTCCCCACATCACCCCTACTCCCACCCCCGAACACACACAGGGACACCTGCCAACATTTAACATCTCTACCCAGGAAGCGACTTGAAGGCACTGCCTACAGCCTGCTGCGCAAGCCTACGCTACCCAAGAGAGAAGCCTAGAAGACCAGTGGATTCCCTTTCCCCAATAAGGCACACAGCCTGTTCTGACTGGTTCTTGGGCTGTCCCTCCACACAGGATGGCCAATGGGATTTAAATTTCAGATAAGCAACAAATAACTTTTTAGTATAAGTGTGTCCTAAATACTGCACAGGATCCACTTAACACTAAATTATTTGGTCTCTGAAATCCCTGGGCACTGAAGTGGCAAAGAAGGGGTGCAAAGACCCAAGACAAACATTCCTCTACTGTGTTCCTCCAACGTGACCATAGAGCTTAGGGTCTACTGCCTTTGTTATTGTTTCCAAGACCAAGAAGGTTCTATTATGACTTCTACATCTACACCAAGGCAGACCACTGTACAAAGAGTTACCTGTCTTAGGGTGGTTAATAACAACGGTTATCATTAGGTGAACACCAACAATATTCCAGCCATTCTATAATCGGGCTCCCGTTTAACATTCACATTCCTCTGTGAGAGAGAACTGTTAACCTTAATGTACAGATGAGAAAACCATCTACAGCGGTAAGAAAATACTACTACAATGTGGTAGAACCAGGATTTGAATCCTGGTGGGTCTGATTCCAGAGCACATGTTCCCTCCACCCTGCAGAACTCTGCCTCTTTTCTTTCTTTCTCTCTCTCTCTCTCTCTCTTTCTTTCTTTCTTTCTTTCTTTCTTTCTTTCTTTCTTTCTTTCTTTCTTTCTCTCCTGCCTCATCTACTGCTACCCTCTTCTGTGTATACAGTGTATACGGGGTGTACTGGTGTATATGGTGCTACATGCTACCCCGAACCCGCCTGCTTCCTGGCCTCTGGCAAGTCTGTTCCCTCTGGCAGGAACGTCCTCCCTTTGTCGCACTGTTACCCATACTCCAATGTCAGCCTCCTCGATCTTGGGCAACAGAAATCCTTCCCTCTCCTACTGCATTCCACCTGCACATTGCACGTGTTGCTGCCTTATAAGACAGCTATTTATGTAGAATTTCCACCTTACCTCGGTTCAGTGAAGGCAGGGATTGAGTCCCACACATCACTTATCAAGGTGCATGATACCTACTTTGAGTTCAGTAAATATTTGCTGGATGAATGAATGAATGAATCAAAGGGCACCGGTGATCTGGAGAGAACCGAATCAGATCATCTGCCACTATAAATCCACACTGGGGCATACCGAACCTGAGCGTCAACCAAGGCTGACAGCCTAGAGACTCTACAGTTCTAAACAGAATGCTGAGCTCAGCTGCCTGGCAGATTTGGGATAACTCAGGCAGTCAATCTGAGGAAGAGAGGCAGGGTAGTATTAGAGGCCAGAATGTAGTCGAAAAGTCAGGAAACCCGAGGTGAAGTCTCAGTTCCCATACCATGTTACCCTGTGACCTTGGATGAGTCATTTTCACGTTGCAGGGCCTCAGCTTCATACTCTATCAACTAGGTATAATGGCAGTATTGATCTCACAGGGTTGTTAAGAGAATTATAGGAATTAACATATATGAAGCATTTGGAGTTATGCTGGTACAGTGTAGGCAGCCAGTACACATTTATCCTCCTCCTCATCATCTATAAGATGATCAGAAGAAACTGCGTGATCCGCTATCATTTATGCTGAGACAACAACAGTCATGCGTTTACATATATGTTCTTGTAAATTTCACTTTTTTTTGGACGACAAAAATAATGACCATTTAAAGATGATATGCTCCTTAAAATGATCAATAATGGAAAATTCTGGTCTCCTAAATTTTGATTTTTGATTTGTAGAAGAGTGACAGAGCTTCCTGCTTTGCAATTCTGACTCATACTCAGTGTGCTAAGTAGTTAATGCCACGGGTGGCCCCACTGCCAGAATGGAATCTCAACTGGTGATGAACCGCTCCAAGATTGATCAGCAGGCTTTGTAGTTGGGGCTCTTCAAACTGGGTGTGTTGTGTGTCTCTTGTGCTTTGCACGTACTCTGTATGTCATATATATAACTCCTAAGTGTTTTCCAAATGAAGTACCAGCAATAACTTAACGGCAGAAACCACTGTTACGCTGGGTTCTTACAATCATGGCTACTCTGAAGCCTGCTCTCCTGACAGCCACAGCATCTCCACCTGGAAGCCCCGCCCTGACCATCCAGGGCACACAAGGAGACAAGCCCCCTTTTCTCCTCAGAAGAGACTCTGGATTAAGGGCGACCCTCGATCACTCCAGCTTCGCTTCTGCTTTCTTGGCTTCCATTTTCCATTAGGCATGACTAAGTGCCAGCAGTTCTGTCTGTCTGGGAAGATAAGAGTCACTGGAATTTTTCATCCTCTTCTCCATGTGCAGCCTTCCTGCTAGTTTGGAGGCCAAGAAGCAGCATCTATTCTTTGGCCCGCTCCATTAAGACACCCCCTTTCTTCTTTCGTCCACTGATTCTCGTGATATGTTTGGCCACAGGAATATTTAGTTCCCTTAAAGGTACTCAGTGCCAGGTCTTTATCCTCCCAGAAGAACTATTTCTGCTCAAGAATACCCTGGGCTTTCTGGAGCACTTGGGTGGCTCAGTCGGTTAAGCGTCCAACAGCAGCTCAGGTCATGATCTCGTGGTTCATGAGTTTGGGCCCCACATGGGGCTGTGTGCTGACAGCTCAGAGCCTGGAGCCTGCTTTGGATTCTGTGTCTCCCTCTCTCTCTGCCCCTCCCCTGCTCATGCTCTGTCTCTCTCTCTCTATCTCTCAAAACTAAGTAAACCTTAAAAAAAAAAAAAAAACCCAGAAAAAGAATACCCTAGGCTTTCCCCATGGCCACAGCATCTCTCAGCCCCCAAGTGAGCCGTGAGGAAAAAGGCCAGGCCACACACAGGGTAGGTGGCTGGGTGTGTGCATGCAGGCATGTTAACCTCCAGCCCTTGATGTCACTATACGGCTCCTGTGAGCAAGGAAGCAGGAAACAGACTGAGTAAAGTTGAGAGGTCAGAGGTGGCTTGGGGCACAGCGTTCTAATCATGGTACTGTATGGTCTTGAACAACTGCTTCCAGGAAATGAGAAAGATGAACTGAACTGCCAAGTCTATGCCCACTGCTGTGCCAAGCGTTTTATGCCAATTATTTCATTTAATTCCCAGCACAGTGGTTAATGCCTACTGTACTCAACCTTAGCTGTACGAGATGGTTTCTAAGGTTCCTTCCAAGCTCCGTGTGCCGAGACTGGTCCCCACTGTCACACCTACCTTCCTGGATACACTTCTGCTTGGCTGCCCAACTTTGCTCCACTCTTGGCAATTTTGCCAGTCTCGGAGCAGTGGTGACTGCCCCAATATCTGCTCCTTGTTTCTGCTCACCTCTATAAATCTGCTACTTCAACAAGTCATGAGTATTATTTTCACAGGTGGCCCCCGTCCAGAATGATCTGACAACAGACAAGACAGAATCCCACTTCTGAAGAAACAAGGCCTCTGCTTGTCATTAACGATGTGCCCAGAATGGATGGTCCTGACTGTTCTTTGCTGCTTCCTTTTTTTTTTTCTAGAACTCATGCCTTAATGTGAAGTGATAGAAACAAGCAGCTTGGCCCTCCTGCCTTGGCTGGACTCCACATCACACGTGACAGCCCTGAGAGGCCCTGGCGGCACCTGTCAGAAACCAACACACACATCTGAACAGTCAGGCCTAATTCCCAAGAAGCTGTTTTAACTTGACATCCGAAAATGTATTACATCTAGAAGTATTTTACTGGGTGTGTGTTCAGGGCATATGTGTGCACGTTCAGCAACTGAGGTGTTCTATAAATACCAGATATGGGTTGTAGAAAAAAGCATCACGTACAGAGCGTACTTAATTCCATTTAGTAATGTTTTCAATTTGTGTCTGACCTTTGGCAACAGAGGTGGAATTTTCTCAACATGAATAAAAAAGTATGCTAAGCACATAATTTGCACACAATTTTCACTTAAAATCCCAAAAATATGCTGGAACTTGGTGACCATCAGTTACCAGCCCAGTGCTTTTAGATGAGGGTACTGAGGCCAAGGTGAAGTTTTCTTCCCAAGATCACACGGGCAATTGATGAGAGTGCCCAGATCAGACCCAGGTCTCCTAGCTCCCAGGCCACTCTTTTTTTGCATGGTCTTTACTTACTGTTACATTTCTTCTTCCAACAGTTCAAAGGCAACTCTGCTTCCAGTGCTAAGTGTATGTTTCTACTTTGATATTCTATAAAAATCCCAAACCAATTCTCCTATCCTTTGCTTTCAGCTCTGTAAGACATCTATTTTTCCAAGGAAGAAAAATACGTGACCATAACTCACAAACAAGGAGGTAGCTGTCCTTGGTTATCAGATTTTCACAATGGCTGGGTGGGATCATCAGAATCCTCGCCTGAGCGCTTGGTAGCATTCGAACAGTATAACAAAGTTCACGTCCATGACAAAGATGAACTGATCTTCCAGCTATTCTTCTCATGTGCAGTTTCTTCTGGCTTACACGATGAGACCAGAAAGTAAACCCTAACCCTGTTTTCCACTGAGAAAGCAGGATGGAAGGACGGATCCGAAGGGGGTGGGGTGGGGTTCAGTCCTTAAAGCAGACCTCAGAAGGGCCAAAGAGTGGAATCAAAAGAAGCCAGGGACACAGATGCAGGGCCTGTAAAAGATGGCCTGAGGGGTCCTGCCCGAGGGGAGTAAGGAGGCTGAGCTGGGCTGTAATTGCTCTGTTCCTGGTACGGCCTGGTTCGTGAAGGCTGGAAGGATGGTAAAACAGCTCCGTCGGGATGAGGGCTGTATTAGCAGTAATTGATGGCCAGGATTTTTAAGGGAGCTTATCATTTCACAGCAACAGATGTCAGGTTCTAATAAATAACATGTTCTCTCTGACCTACGCAATTTGGAGAGGATGCCTGGACGTCAGGCAGATCTGGATTCCTCTCCATCTCCGTTGCTCTCTCTTCTGAAAGGAAAAACAAACCAAATCCCTTGAAGATACTTTTCAAAATGATTCTCTCTGAGAGTTCAAGGATCCAATAATTCCATGTTATTTATTTGCTTTACTTCTCTCTTCACAGCGTCTGTGTTTCTAAACCCCTGGAGGGAAAGGCGTGCTTGCCCACGCAGGAACCCAGGGCATGTGGGTGAGGGGAAGGCTCGGGGACCTCGGCCTTCCTCAGTTCCAGCCTGGTTCTGTTCCTGTCTTCCCAGGGCACTCTGATGGCCCAAGCTGTGCTGGCTGGACCAGAAAATTCCCTCTTCTCTTCAGAGGAGAGTTCAGCTAAGATGAGACTGGGTTTGGGATTTTTTAAAGGGAATTCTTCCAAGGGAACTTAAGGCAAAATAAAAGAATAAAGAAAACCCATGAATCATAGCAACATTGGAACTACAGGTTCTATCACTGTGGCACAGCACCCTGAGAGGCCGAACCTGGTAGCTTTGCCTGCCTCGGTGCCCTCCCTTCTGCCAATGACTCTTTCAGCCCAGAGCAGCTCGCTTCTGTAGCTGCTCCCCCTTGCAGAAGGGCTGTGGGGGTGAGCAATCACAATTGGGCACAACCCTTACCGTTCTGGTCATCTCCCTACCCTTGCGTGCAGATGGGGGTTCCAGAAATATGGCTATAAACAGGAGGAGGGATGGGGCCCAGGGAGGTAGGGGGAAGAAAGGGAGGTAGTGGTCCAGGGAGAGGGAGGGTGGCAATGTCCCCATCAGGGTTTTCCGTAACACTGATGGGTATCACACATGTCAGGGTGTCCCTCTGGCCAGCCGACCAAGCACGGGGACTGCAGAGAGAGGCCTGACTCTGCAATGAAATCTCAATAGGAACAAAGCATAATTTGAGCTGCCTTAAGGAGCTACCCACAAGGAAGCAAAGAAGTAAGTGATTAATTTCTGGAAAGACAAACACATATAACAGGCTGACATTATAACCACTTATACTTCACCAACACCCCTCCCTGAGTCTTCCCCTAGTCCCAAAGAATTCTCAGGCCTCAGGGCTCCTGCGACCACACCATGTACTAACCTCTTTGAACTGGGGTTTCCACACTGAGTTCCATAGCATCTGAGGGACCCGAAGGGGCCTCAAGCCACAGTAAGGGTGGGGATGGGCAGCAAATCAGGTGGGGACATCTAACCCCCTTCTCTTGAATCAAGGAGAGGAGATCTATTTTTATTGGGTGTATTTAGAGGACGGATGCCCAAGACTGATTGAAGCATTTGGCAGCTAATGACAAGTTTGGAGAAAACTGTGTCTTTGGGAATATATAGGTATTAACAGTGAAATATTCCTGAAATAGTCCAGAATGTACAATCTTTTAAAAACCCTTGAAAGAGAAAATTATTCTGCAAAGACAACTGGATGACAAATTATAAAAGTGTGCATGGCGAAGAACATATGGTGAATTACGGACTGCTTTGGGACCATTTGGATAGGTTTCTAAATAAGAAAATAACAACTCTCTGACCTTGAGGCAAGAAGGGAAACAACAAATGGTTTTAGGAGGTTCATGAATTACTCCCATGTGTTGACTGAGAAGCTATTTTTTGAAATATTCTTTAAGTGATTCCATTTATATAACGGGTTTTATTTGTGACAAGCCATTGCAGTGAGTGGTTTGGGGTTAAATCCTATTCTCAGATACTACTTAGGCCTCTAGAATCAACCTGATGTTTTACACAATGAAGCTCATGGAAAACTCACTCCATCTACTCACAGATTTATCAGACTAGAAAGGATTACAAAAAAAAATCATCTGATTCATTCATCTAGACAGATCTAAAGCTGTATACAAGATACCAATGTAGGTAACTAGTAAGTTCAGTTTGTTTGTTTTTTTTAAAGTGACAGTTGGTTTTATGTAGATTAAACAACTGAAGTATGGATTTTGCCAACTTTCTAAGCTGGCCTGGCTGGCACCAAGAAGATACAGCCATAGGTGATGGTGTGCATAGACGGGGCAGCCTAGAATCTAAGAATCTCTGGCCAAGTCACTGAGGCCAGGGGACTGTTTAGTTGGGTGCAGTGCTGACTCTGCTATCCTTTAATTAAAAATCTTTTTCCCTACAGGGATAGTGACATTAATAGTGAATATCGACTGAATGCTCATGACATGCCAGACCCTACGCTGGACAACTCACCTACACTACCCTGTGTGGGAAGCAGAATTCTAAGATGGCCCCTGAGATTTCTCACCCCTTGTATAATAATCCCCAGGACTATGAAAATGTTGGATTTCATTTCTATGGTTTCATGTTATGCTACATGAAACAGATGACTTTAAGAAAGGGAGATTAACAGTAGGACTGACCTAATCAAATGAACCCTTCGAATGATCTGAGTCCAGAAGTCAGTGACACCAAAGTCAGAGATTAGAAACAGCAGGAGTTGATGCACCACTGCTGGCTTGATGATGTGGAGGGGCCACATGGCAGGAAATGGCTGACAGCCTGTAAAGCAACCAGCACCTCAGTCCTACAACCACAAGGAACTAAACTCTGCCAGCAACCTGAATGCGCTTGGAAGAGGCCCTGGGCCTCACATGAGAAAGCAGCCCCAGCCAACACCTTGACTTTAGTCATTTGGGACCCTGAAAAGAGACCCAGGAAGGTTGTACCAGACTCCTAATCCATAGAAACTATGAGATAATAATTTGTGCTGTTCTAAGTTGTTAAGTGTGTGGTAATCTCTTAGTTAATAATGGAACACCATACACACCATTTGATACTCATAATCACCCTCTAAAACTAGATTCCCCATTTAATAGATAAGGGGACAGACTTCAGGGAGATAATGAATTTGCCCAAAGTCACACAGATAGTGAGTGGCAGAGACAGGTTTCAACCCAGCTGTCCTGACTTCAGGGTCAGTGCTCTTAATTGCCACATGCATTTCCTCTCTGTATTTATGTTATTCAAGTGCCAGGCCTTGTTGAGTCAGACAAGTGGTAAAGAGAAAGGGGAACTGTATCTGTCTGCCTGGGGACAGATGTACAGAAAGTCAGAGGCCCTGTGTTGAGCCCTGACTCTATTAGAAGCTAGCTGTGTGCCCTCAGGAAAGACACTTAATCACTCTGAGCCTAAGTTTCTTTATCTGCATGAAGGACAGTGAGGATTTCTACACTGTACCCCCCCCCCCAAGGGGCTGCTGAGATGATCCCATGAAGGTGTGTGAGGGTGCACTGAGAATGGTGAGGTCCACAGGGCAGGCAAAGGTGCCCGAATGGCATATGCAGGCACAGCTTTGACTTCAGCTTCCATCTTAAGAAGCTTGGAAAAGGAGAACAAATTAAACTGAAAATAAATAGTAGAAGTAACCAAGAGAAAAGCATAGATTAATAAAATAAATAGCTTTCTTTGTAAAGATCAGTAAAAATGATAAATCCCTAGCTAGACTGTTCTAAGAAAAGGGGAGAGAAAAGAATAGAAACTTTCACTATAAGGACTGAAAGAAGTTCTATCACTAGAGCCCACAGATATTAAAAGAAAAATGAGGGAATATTATCAACAATCTCACGCCAATCATTTCAACAACTTAGACAACTTACTTAAAGGAAACACTACTTGCTAAAACCAACACAAGAAAAAATGGTGAATATCCCTGTATTTAGTAAGGATTTCTTTGAATTTCTTCCCATAAATAAAACTCTATTAAACATTAAAAAAAAAAAAATCAGTGCCAAACCTACACAGACTCTTTCAGCAAACAAAGGTGGAAGGAAAAATTGCCAGTTCATTTTATGAAGCCAGCATGGTGCTTTTATCAAAATCTGACAAGGACAACAGAAGAAATTTCAAATCAGTATCACTCACGAACATGTAAAAAATTTTAACACACTGTTAGCAAATCAAATCTAATAATCTAAAAAAGGATAAAATATCATGACTGAGAAGGCTTATTTACCCCTGGAATGCAAGGTTGGTCCAATATTCAAAAACTAATTAAGGTAATTTATCACTTTAATAGAATAAAGCAAAACCATAGGATCAGGCCAATAGATACAGAAAAAGCATTCTACAGAATTCAACACCCCATTCATGATAAAAACTCTTAGCAAAGTGGGAATATAAGAGGACTTCTTCGTGTGATAGAGACATCTATATAAAACTTACTGCTAACATCAGCCCTAATGTGGAGACATAAGGCCAGATATCTGATCTTACCACTGTGTACTAAACTGCAGATCCCAGCCAGTGCAATTAGGTAAGGAAAAGAAATTTAAAGCCATAAAAATTATAAAGATTGAAAATAAAAAGTAAAGTTGTAAGAAGTGATATGATTGTTTATGTAAAAAATGCTAAGAAAACTACAAAAAAGCTACTAGAATTTAGTACTAATTGTGAATTTAGCAATGTGACAGGACACCAGGTCAACACAGAAAAATTGTCTGTATTCCTATATACTAGCAGTAAGACAGAAATAAAATCTAAAAAAACTATCATTTGCAATAAAAGTAAAATCACTAAAAAAATACACAAGCTTTCTACACTGAAATCTCAAAACACTTTTCAGAAAAATTAAAGAAGACCTAAATAAAACCCTATTCATTGACTGGAAGATTCAATATTGCTAAAACGCCAATTTTCCCCTGGTTGATCTATAGATTTAACACCATCTCAACCAAAATCTCAGTGGGGTTTTTTTTTTTTTTTTTTTTTTTTTTTTTTTTTGAGGGGAAAATGGAGTTGGAATTGGCAAACTAATTTTAAAACGTATGTGGAAATGCAAAGAACCCAGAATAGCCAAAACAATCTTCAAAAAGAACAAAGTTGAAGAATTTACGTTTCCTGATTTTAAGAAATATTGGTATTGGTATCCAAACAGAAAAACAGACCAATGAAACAGAACAGAGTATCCAGAAATAGACCCACTCATATGTAGTCAATTTATTTTGACAAAAGCATGAAGGTGATTCAATAGAGAAAGAAAAGTTTTTTTCGACACATGTTGCTGGAATACCTGGATATATATAAACAATTAACTTCAGCCTTTACCTCATACCATACACAGAACTTAATTTGGGATGAGATGGATCAGAGACCTCAATATCAAGCCAAAATGAAAGCTTCTAAGAAAAAAATGTTGAAGAATCTCTTCATGACCTCGTGGTAGACAAATAATTATGAGGCTAGGAAAAGCATTAACATAAAAAGAAAACACTAATAAAATAAATTTCATTAAAAATAAAACCTTTCTTGTCATCAAAAGACATCATTAAGAAAATGAAAAGGCAAGCTACAGATTGGGAGAAAATACTTGTAATACATAAATCTGACAAATATATAAATAACTCCTAAAACTCAATAATAAAAAGACCAACAACCCTATTAAATATAGGCAAAATTTGAACAGATGCTACTTAAAAGAAGGCATACCAATAAGCACATGAAAAGATGATCAACATCATTAATCATCAGGAAATCAAGATTAAAAAAACACAATGAAATCTCATTTCATCCCCTCTGGAATAGCCAAAAATAAAAAGACTGACAATACCAAGTGTTGGAGAGGATATGGAACAAATGGAACCCTGTATATTGCCCATGGGAGTGTAAAGTGGTATAAAGACTTCATAAAAAATTTGTCAGTTTCTTATAAAGTTAGTCATACACATACTCCCAATCCCAGTTATTTACTCAAGAATTGAAACCGTATGTCTATGAAAAAGGCTTATATAAGAATGTTCTTTAGCAGCTTAATTCATAAAGTCCCCAAACTGGAAACAACCCAAATATATATATGCAGACGAATGGATTAACAAATTATGATATATTTCTATAATGGAAATTCCTCAGCAGTAAAAAAGGAATGCCATAACCGATAATTTTAAAATAATTATGCTAAATACAAAAAAACACACAAAAGAGTATGATCTGTACTATTCCATTTATAAGAAGTATCTAGAAAAGAAAAAACTACGACGTGATAGAAATCAGACAGTGTCTGTCCTGGCGATGAGGAGACTAATTGGAAAGGATAGAAGGTAACTTTGTCAAAACTCCATCAAAAGACAGTCTTAAACCTGTCCACTTTGTTGCATGTACATGACACTGTATGTAAATTACACTGCAATAAATATCTTTCAAAAGATATATACGCAAAGCCCCTGCCTTCAAGGAACTCACAATTTAAGGAAATGAAACAATATAAAGATGTGAAAAATCAAAGGATAATACAAAAGAGATTTCACAGCAGTACACCTGGTCCCTGACTTACAATGGTTCCACTTAACAATCTTTTGACTTTACGATGGTGCAAAAGCAACATGCATTCAGTAGAAACCGTACTTTTGAGTTCTGAATTTTGATCTCTTCCCAGGCTAGTGACAGGTGGTAGGATTCTTGTGATGCTGGGCAGAGGCAGTGAGCTGTAGCACCAAGTCCACCCCTCGATCACGAAGGTGAACAACTGATACACTTATACGAGCATTCTGTCCTCACACAACCATATTGTCTTTCACTTTCAGTACAGTATTCAGTAAATTATGTGATATATTCAACACTATATTATGAAATAAGCTTTGCGTTCAATGATCTTGCCCAACCGTGGCTAATATAAGTGTCCTGAGCACATTGAAGGAAGTGCAGGGCTAAGCTAGGATGTTGGGTAGGTTAGGCGTAGTAAATGCATTTTCTATTTACGAATGATATTTTCAACTATAACGATGGGTTTATAGGGACATGACCCTTTCGTAAGTTAAGGAAGATCTGTACATGACCAACAGTCAACTGAGACTAGGAAGAGTAGAAGAAGCTGCCTGTGTATTAGCATGGATGGGGAAAACCATAGGGAAGAACACTGAAGGATCTGAAGGAGAAGAAAGAGGGCGAGGGGAAGGGGTGAGCAAAGGCACCAGTGGGACAAAGCAGAAGCTAAACACAAGAGTCTTTCATATGTCCACTCGTTGACTGACCCTTCATATCAAGTCCATCCAATAGGGAGGAGTACAGTCTTCTTTTACAGGATGAAGTTCAGAAAGATTAATGGCCCTGCCCAAGGCCGCAGAGCTTATTCGATTAGAACCTGTGATAGGAGCTGGGCATGCGTGACCCCAGAGCCTGTGCGCCGTCATTAGAGGGCATTTTTCTTGTGAGGACAGAATTTGCCGGACAGCCATGCGCAAGAAGCACAGGTCATAGGAAAAGCTCGGATCAGTGCCAGAAAGCGTCCTTTCTGAGTTCACATGTTTAGAACTTTGCTCTACAGGAGGGAATAAACAGCTGACTCCACTCAGAGAGCTCTACTGCTGTTCATAAACCGTGAGAGTGTTTATGTCATGGGCAGAGCTCTCCAAGTGAATTATAGCCTTTTACGCACTGAGCACATACAATATTTTCAGAGGACAAAGAAACAGGGCGTGGAAGGAATGCTACAGTTGACCTTTCTCTCTTTCTGTCCTTTCTCTCCAACCTTCTCCAGCAATCTTAAGCCTATCCTGCATGGACAGTTCTCTGATTGTGTTTATCCATTACCTGCCTTTCTGACACAACCCAGGAAAGTTACTCACTTCAATTTAAGAAGCGAGCTTTTAAACTATTTCTTCTTCCTAGGATGAGTGGCTGGCTTTCTCTTTTATTACATTTAAAATGAATCCATCTTCCCTACAGTAGAAAGCAGATTTTTTTAATGTTACTTCAGATGTTTTCTTTAGACTGGTGTTAACATAAAGCAAATGTCTCTTGCATCTCTGAACCAATCTGTTAAGATAAACAGGCTTCACTTACGATATTCCTATACTGAAATCATAGGCTCGTGGTCTGCAACTCCTTAAAGACTCAATTCATACATGCTAAAAGGTCTAGTTCAGAGACACACACACACACACACACACACACACACACACACACACACACACACAGCTTTGCCATGGAAACCACAAGGACATGTCTGGTTCAGAGTCCATAGCACGTACCACAAATAACAGCCCATCTTCTAAGGGCAGATCTTGTATATACACAGGGAAAGCCCAGACAATTAAACAACTGCAATACCTCAAACATAAAGCTTACTTTTTAATCCCTTTCTTCAAGTCTATTTCAAGATACCAAAGTCTCAATGATTGTTCTTAGGTACATTTGATTATGTCTGTTGTTTTCCTTAAACACAATTTCAGACTTGGACATCATGGATAAAAAGGGAAAATACAGGGAGAAAGGGCACACTGAAGTTTCAGATAACAACAATTCTGGATTCCACATGAGTCTGGGAAGGTGTGTGTTTCTACAGAAAGCAGCCCTGTCATTATTTAACAGAGCCCCAATCCTGATTAGGTGGAGGCTTTGTACTACAGAAAGTACAGGGGATGCCAGTAGGCACCCTGGGGAGGGTGTCAGGGAGGGGAAGCAAGAGCGACAAGTCCTACTAATCGGGAACATTCTAGGTCTGGAAGGCCAGGTTTTGTCAGTACTTAAAACTGTCAGAAGTTTGGTATGATAAAGACTTTGATCTCTCTTGCTGGGCTACAAATTCCATGAAGACGTGGACAACTTTCAATTTGTTTATCGCTGTATCCCCAGCATGGAGCTCACTGCCATGGGGGATGCTCAATAAACAGAGAAGGAGTGAAGGAAAAGGATGCTTAATAAGTATTCTTCATTTGTGTGATTCTGTGAATTTCATCATCCTTCAGCTGGGCTCACAGGTATGATCATATGGTGGTTCAGAGTGAGTGATAAAGTAATAGCCACCTGCCACTCTAACCATGATTGATTCTTGGAAACTATGATTTTAAGCCACTGTTGCTTCAGTCTAGGAGGCCATGGTTCAACAAGACTGGGGTTCCAGACACTGAAGTCTTATCCACAAGGAACACTCAACATACTTTTACATTTACGTATTCCATATGACTCGTGAATGCTTTCCACAGATAGGTTCATGTGCAGTACTTAAATCCCTAAACTCCAAACTCTAGCTAACTTCAACCTCTATCGAATTTCCAACTTACTTCCATCCCTGTGGATTCTAATAGTTCTAAGCTATTTGTGTAGCCATTTATTGAGTCGAGGAACACACAGGCCCTATTTTGGGCAATGGCTGTAGAGACACAATGAGGTATATAATCACTTTGTTCCTTCAGACATTACAGTTCCACGTGAAAAACTCAGTATTGGATTCATGTATTCACTGCAAAAATCCTATTTGTTTACCATCAGGTGAAATTTTCCATTTAAAAAAAATATATGAAAGTAGTTGCTAACATTTTCATCATCGACATCATTTATCCGCTATTCTAACTTCTATCTAGTACTTTTTCTCCAATCTAAACAGACAGATTTCAGAAACATCCTGTAACCCATTAAAAAAAAGAAAAACAATCTACCTGATGAGGCTAGATAAGGGTTGGCAAACTTTTTCTGTAAAGGGACAAATAGCAAATACTTTTTGCTTTGCAGGTCCTATGTGATCTGTTGTAATTTCTCACTCTGCCACGTTAGCAGCCATGCGAACAGCCACGCAAAAATAAGTAAAGAAATGGGCATGGCAATGTTTCAATAAAACTTTATTTACAAAAACAGGCATAGGACAGAATTTAGCCTGTAAGCAATAGTTTGCCAACCCCTGGACTAGATAAACAAAATGCTCCTATTTATAGGAAATAGCAACGGATTCACTTACTTTGCTCTTTTGGCCATCTCATTTCCATCCCATCTGGGGCTGTATGGATAATTTTTTTGGGCCTGGGAATAAAGCTGTCCACTGTTGGTAAAGTGATAGACAGACTGGAATGTGAGAGTCGGCTGGTCTCGAGGGAAAAACAGGGGCAGGTCGACTGCAAAGACAAAAGAAAGGAAAAAAAGTTATGGTTTCAACGTATGGGTTAAACTTGAATGTTGGGTACAGGACTCTATCTGAACTACAAACGGTTTGAGATTTAGGTAAAACATATGGAGGGAGGGGCCAAGAAATACCAAAGTGCCTTCCCTGACTTCAAGGAGTTTACAATCTAGGCACATAAGTGAAAATCACACATAAAAATAAATTTAACCAATATGAGGCATGATGTGTGGCTGCTGCTATGAAATGGTCACAGAAGCTGGGCACTCCCAGCCATGTGAATTCCTCCTATGGCATTTACCTTGTCTAGTATTTAGTAGGGAAGTTAGTTGATTATTTTTTTAAAGTCTCTATTAAATCACAAACTCTTCAAAGGTCAGGCAGTATCTTCCTCATCTAGAATTTGATGGAGGGGGTGGGATGGAGGCTGTCCTTAAAAAATGGATTTGGAATGGGGAGCAGGAGGGGCAGGTGATAATCTTTATATTTTATAGGATACGGCCACTGGACTACCAGAAAAAATAAAGTTATCACTTTACTTCCAATCAAGCAGTGAATTCTGCTACTCAGCAGTTTGAAGCATCTCCAGATGTGTTACCACATATAGTTCCTAAACCAGTGGGGGCTCCTTAATGGAACGCAACAGGGACTAATCTGAACACTGCATATGTCTACTGAGGGTAGCCTGATTCCAGTGTTTGCTGCTAACAAGTATTATGTGCTTTGTCTGTTCATTTTAGGGTCCTTTAACTCAATTTTTAAAAATAAAATGACTCCTTTTTAGTTTGAGGCAAAGCAACATTATAAACACAGACTGTTTCAGCAGCACATTCCTCAAGGCATATAATGTGTATTTGTATGAATGTTACCACTTCTAGGGCAAAGAACAGACAGGGACATCAACTTACGAAAATACGATAATGAGAAAAAATGTGTATAGAATTTCCTAGCTTCACAGAGTACTTTTATATACTTTATCTCATTTGAGAGTTATAATTCCATGTAGGAGACATTATTTTTACCATGTGCATTTAGCAGACAGACAAACTTGAGACTCCAAGAGGTTTATTAACTTGCTCACGCCCCAGCTAGGTGGAGGTGGGGCTCGAATCTAGTCCCATGGTGTAAATCCTGAGCTCTCTCTACTGGGCCCCATTGCCTCCTGCTCTTAATGACACTGGTGCAACCTGCTCACAACACATTCATTGTGTCACGGTTACCATTCTCTGAAGTCTCTACTGTGAAGAACGTACAAGATTCATCTTTCTGGCTACACGAGGCAAATATATGAAAAGAAAACACATACTAGATAGCTACACATCTGTCACCATGCCGGTGTAGGGTGACATTTGACTTGGGCTAGGCCCTCTAAGCATCCAAAATGATTTCATGAAGGAAAAGTCAGGTTTGCAGCAAACTTTTTAAAAAACCCAGAAAACAAGAAACAAAAAAAAAAATTGTTCAGTGTCTTAGACCACTGCATATATTTGACTCTGACTCAGTGCTGCAGGGGGTTTCTACATATGAATCACCACAACCCAAGAAAAGTGGCAAGACTTTGAATGTCCACTCGTTAGTCACATTTTCCATGGGCCTCCGTGTGGTGCCAGCACATGCCTGTTTGTGCCAAAGCAGAGATTTAGTAACGTATAGGAAACAATACAAAATAGGAAAAACAAACTTAAATTATAAATAATTTGATTCAGAAAGCCCCTTTGAGTCCCTTTATATTACAAAGCACGATTTGTAACATCTTCAGTCATTTTGAATAAATATTGCTTTCTAAAATTAAGTTTATATCTTTTCTGATTACTCATTTCATCTCCTCTAATTTTAGAAAGCATGCCTATTTACACATAGTTTAATTTGGCTTCAATTGTTTATATTACATATACATTTCCAAGTATAAAACGAGATTCACATTAACCCCCAAAGCAATCACCAACAGCACCGGTGAAAAGTATTTAACATGCATGAGCCTCCCTTAAGAAATGCAGTGATTGTGAATAACCGAATTCAATGGCAATAATTTACCAATTTAAAGTAAGTATAGTCATATTTCGTATCAAAGTAATACAGAGAATACCACAGGTTTCATGATTGTCAAGCTATCAGCTTACTGGGCTTTGGAAAACGTTATATTTTTTGTTCCTGTTATTTTGTTTTGTAGAAAATGAGTTGCTGGTATTTTGACATGCTGAAAAATGATTTTCCCACCTAGTTCTGAACCATCCACTTTGACCCCCTAAATGCCCAATTAAGATCAGAAACAATTCAAAATGTGAATGTAAATTTATCTACCCAGGCAAGTGAATTGTTCTGATTTAAAAAAAAAAAAAAAAATTTCCAGCCAGCTATATGCTGATATGTACCGCGATTCCCAGAAAAAACAACACTGATTGCATGATTATTTCTCCATGGAGCTTTTTCTAAAAAAGTATAGTTGAAGCCAATATTGAAATCTGAACACAGCAGCTAGATGAACAGTGAAGCAGGAATGGTCAGAGTACCTGAGACATAAAATCGATAATCCACATGAGAAAATAAAATCAAAAAATATAATTATCTTGCTCAACTGAACTAAACCATACCCTGCCTGTATCGGTCAGGAATCAATAAAAGGATGGATTCTTTGAAAATGTTCTATGCATAAGAAGGAGTTAATAACTAAAATATTTATGAGAAATGCTTTGCATTTTTCTTGAAAGAATGTTTTGGATGGTACAAATCAGTCAGAATTAAAAAAAAACACAACAAGTTTGTTTTCCTTATCTCCAAATGTTCTTCTCACTTAACACTTGCCTATAGGCTAACTCATGATTTTTTAAAGATTTCACGTTTAAGTAATCTCCGCACCCAACGTGGGGCTTGAACTCACAACCCTGAGATCAAGAGTCACATGCTCTACTGACTGAGCCAGGTAGGCACCCCTCACTCGTGATTTTCTGACACATAGTAAAATAATGACGGCAGGCCTTCGCACAGCTAACTTGTTCTGAAGGTACTCCCAGGGCTCTACGCAGTTTGGGCTCATATTAGCTATATTGGAATTGAATATTTTAACTATTGGCTTCCTTTGAACCCAACCCACCTACCGGCTCAAGTTTGATTCCCAGGGTAGAACCCCTCCATTTGGTTCAGTTACTCGTCAGTATTAGTTGGACAACTGCTGCCTATTTCCTTCTTCCTGTATACAGAGACTGAATTTTGGTCAGCTCTCTAACCACGGAAAGGATGGCCCTCGCTTGTTCAGTATAATGTCAATAACCACTTTCCAAAGCATTGCTTTCTTCAAGAACTTGTTGAAACAAGTCACTGCCAAACACTTCCAATTCTGTACAACCTGGGCATTTCACAGGATTCATTCACAGGGCACCCCCTGCCAGAGCGCAGGAAGGCACCATGAGGCTCTGTGCCAGCTTGCTTCATGGTGGATAGTCACTGCCGTGATGAGCTCCACTGCATACAGTCCCAGAGCTAGTGGTGTTCTCCAAGCGCCCGGCAGCCATGCGGCGTGGAGAGGGAGCTGAATATGCATCAGTAAATTTTTTGCTGCCTCTCTCCAAACCATCCTGGGGTTCACACGGGACAGATGCAGTTTCGCTTTCCCTAGTAAACAAGCGTTAAGTGTCCCCAAGTGCTCATCCTTTCACATAAGATGACTTCACTAAAGTTGCATCTGAATTCCTAAGCCTCTCTAGAAATCTGTCACTTCTCCAAAGACCTCCACGATGGAAGAATGACCTTGAACGGCCAAAGCGATGCCACACCATGTATGGGATCCATAAGACAGCTGCCAGATACTCATTCAGAACATTTCAGGCATAGTTCTAACAAGTTTGATTATATGACCTTTCCAGAAAAAAAACCCCTAATTATGGCAAGATTAGGACAAGGTATACTGACAGCAAGTAATGATAACTAGCAGTCTGGCACAAAGGAAGGAGAGAGAATAATAAATATAAACAGACTTAGAAAATAAAAAATAATCCCAGCCTGGGGCCATTCAGCATAGAACAAAAAGCCCAGCCATCCCTCAAGCTATTACCATACTGTAAGTGACGTTCACTCCCCATCTTGGTAACCTGGCAGACACTCTTGGTTCCCTACCAACAGCCATTCTCCATGGGCAGAGCCCTCCTCCCACTCTAGAGCCCAAAAGTGCTGGGTATTTGCTCTCTCAGCCTTCCATGAGACCAAGGCATAGAAATGTGACTCAGTCCTGCCAATGAGGCCCAAGGGGGAAGTCGGCTAGGGGTCTTCTGAGAAATATTTTCCTCTCTGAGTAAAGACACGTGTAAGGAGAAGCCCCCGTTGCATTCGTGCCTAGATCTTATCATGTGAGATCTCGAGGCTTGGAGCTGTGCACCCCACCTTGTGACCATAAGGGGAAAGTCAGCCTGGCAACACTGAGCTGTTGAATTCATCAGCCCTGGAATGCCCAGCTCTGGAGTCCTTGCTATGTGAGACCGTTACAGGTCCTAACTACTTAAACTTCTTTTAATCAGGTCTCCTCAGACTTGCACTCAGAGGCATCTAAAGAAATGTTATTTCTTGCAGCTTCTGTTCAAGAAGGCAGGATAATTGGATAACCAATTTCAGAAGTATTTCCACCAAGCATGGTTGAAAACATTCAAGGCACATAAATAGGAAAGTTTTAGTTGTCAGGAAAATTCAGTTATGTGGGACAGTTCAATCCTTGAAAATGCCAAACAAATGAGGGGTTAACCATAATTGCTTCTCTGGGAGTCACATCATCAGATATTTTCATCCTTATTCACCAGTCAGCCATTACTTCATTTCTCCGAACCTTCCAAACGATATATTGCTGTGTCCTTGGGTTAGTAGGGAAGATACTCACGCCTTGGCTTCGTGGTGGTTACAGTTGTGTTTCCATTTTCAGTCCTCTGCAGACTCTCCAGTTCCTAGAAGCCTTATTAGCAGAGAGTCTTAACTCCATGTCGACTTGCTGAAAACTCCCCCTCCAACGATGAC